ACTGACAACCTCTGAAACACATGCCACCTCACATTGGAAGATAAGAGTCTCTTGGCCAGAAAGAGACCACAGTTTGACCCTCCCCATTAACTGATGTTAATGTTGCCCAGAGATTTTCTTTTTCCCTCTTTCCAATAATTTCCCCACTGTTCATAAAAATAATGATAATATTAATAGTGATATAATTATATACCAACTGTTATACTTTGAAAATTACTTGTAATTATATTATATAAGTATATACTTATAATCATATAAAACTACTTCTACTTTGTATATACGTTTATAGTACATATGATTACATACTACCCACTATTTCAAAGTCTGAGATACAGTAATGACACATAGCTGTACCTCCTATCTGCACTCTAATGGAGAAGACAACACAAAAGATATAAATCAATTAGTTACAAATTGTGGTAAGTGATATGAAGAAAACTCATACAGGGTTGAGACTGAAGGAGAAAACATACTTTAGATGAAGCAGATAAGATTTCAGCTAAAAATCAAAGGGCAGATAAGAAGGGGAACTATGTGAAGAAAGGTGTGTGTGTGTGTGTGTGTGTGTGTGTGTATCCTTACTCTGTGGATGAGAAAGCCAAGGCCCTGAAAAGGAAGGCCAGTGTGACCTGAAGAAAGTGACGAGCCACTCCCTGGGGGCAGCTTGGACAAGAAGAGATGAACCCAGAGACAGAAGCAGGGCCAGTTCATGGGGGTCTGGTACAGGTTTTGGATTCAATTCACAATGCAATGGAAAGCCATTGAAAGGTTTTAAGGAGGATATGGAAACGCTCTGATTCACATGTTTAAACAGTAACCCTGGCCAAATGGACTGTGGAATGCATAGATTATTAGCATTTATTCTTTTTTAACAACATTTTATTTCAGAATAATTTTAGATTTACAGAAAACTCACAAAAGTGCTACTTTTGTCAGTTAGAGACTTCCCATGCACTTCACCCAATTTCTGCCATTGTTAACATCTGCATGGTACATTCATCATAACTGAAACATTAATGTGAGTAGATTACTGGTGACTACAAGACAAACTCTGAACTTCACCAGTTTTTCTACTAATATCCTTTTTTTGTTCCAAGATCCAGCTCAGGATAGAACATTGCATTTAGACTTATGGTCTTCTGAATAGTCTTTCTATACTTGAGGAAAGGCCTGCATCATCATCTTTCTTGTAACTAAAAGTCCTGATAGACAAGAGGAAAAGAGTGGGCTCAGGAAGGATATTGCTAGAGTCAGCCAGGCAAGAGATGAGGGGGACCCACTCAAAAAAATGGGGTGGGATGCCAATTTAGTTTATACAGTAACATCAATTACTATAAAATAAAGGTACTTTTAATACCCCAAATTAGAAAGAACAGCCTCAGAATAGAAGTCTCTTATGCTGAATAAATTTAGCTTTATGAAAAACTTAATACATTACCTGAAATTTTCTCATTTGTCTGAAAAGAATGAAAATTTATATAAACTTATATTGGGCCAGCCCACAGAATGTTTTCTGGGATAGTAATATTCTTTATTTAATTTTAAAAATTGTTTTTTTAATAAATAGAGACACAGTTTCTTCATGTTGCTCAGGCTGGTCTCATACTCCTGGGCTCGAGTGATCCACCTGCCCACTGGGATTACAGGCAGGCATGGGATCATGCCCAGCTGGGGACAATAATCTTAAAAAAAAAAAGTGAATTCACAGAATTATAACTGCTTAATCAGCAAATATTGACTCATCACCTTCTATGTGTCAGGTGCTACAAAACACACTCAAGAGTTTTGATGTTAGAATCATGCTCTGGACCAAGGAAAATCAAATATCTAATTGCAGAGGAGATTTGTTACAAAGCTGGTGGAGCTGGTGAGTAAAGACAACTGAACATTTCTGTGTTGTCTGTTAAGATGAGTGCAGCAACTGAGGAGTGCTGCACAGATCATCCCTGGGATGGGGTGGCTGGCCACTCAAGCCTCCTGTCCAAGTTTGGGCTTCTAGCATGATTTAGTCATAGGAAACCAAGTTTTAGGGCAACTTCAGTTGTGTCTACACCTTAACAAGCAGCTGTTTTTATTGTAGTATCGCCTTCCTACTTTTTCCTGATCATTTCATTTGGACTAAGTTGGGATACCCAAGTAGGAAATTTTAGGGCAAATGATAAAAATCTTGATTCTCAAGAAGATTAAAAAATAACAAATCTGGCCAGGCACAGTGGCTCACACTTGTAATCCCAGCACTTTGGGATACCGAGGTGGGTAGATCACCTGAGGTCAGGAGTTTGAGACCAGCCTGGCCAACATGGTGAAACCCTCTCTCTACTAAAAATACAAAAATCAGCCAGGTGTGGTGGTGCGTGCCTGTAATCTCAGCTACTCAGGAGGCTGAGACAGGAGAGTCAGTTGAACCCTAGAGGTAGAGGTTGCAGTGAGCCGAGATCGCACCATTGCACTCCAGCCTGGGTGACAGAGCGAGACTCCATCTCAAAAAAAAAAAAAAAAATCTGAATGGGATTCTACAATAAGCACAGCAGATAAAGACGGGCAGTTCTTGCACTGCCTCCTCCCCAGCAACAGACTGGTCAAGAGAAAAAGACCACAGCAACTGAGTGACACTGGGGTTACCAGATTATGTCCTTGGGCATCTGTGAGGGACTGCCAGAGGCAAAGTCAGGCCACCAGCCAACTGGAGCTTTTTACTTCCTTTTCCTAATGCCTTAGTCTTAGGAGCAGACGTTACTTTTAAAGAGTAGCATTGGGACTTGCATTCAGATCACCAGAGGTTCGTGATAAGAATGAAAAGTCCTGGATCTCTCTTCTAGGCAACCTAAATTGGAATTTACAACATCTGTTTTTTAAATAAGCCCCTTAAGTGACCTTAACCTACCTGAAACCTTGAGGGCCACTGTCCCACAGGCTCCCCACCCATCTATGGATGGCTGCGGTGAAACTGAAACATGGGAAGCATGAAAATGATCTGGGAGGAGGTTCTACAGAGGTGGAGGATGGAGCAGGTGCAGGGGCCCATGTCCTCTTAGGCCATTCCTGTGCACTCATTACAGGTAGAGAATGGTCATTTTTGGGTCATGTTAATCAGTCTGTGGATGTTTTGCAAACCTTTCTAGTTATTGTTCCTATTTGGCCTGACATTTCCTGAGGCTACTGTCCACCTTGATTCTGTAGGGCCCTTTGGGCTGAGAACTTCAAAAGCCAGAGATTACTCTCAACACTCTCTAATTTTCATGTGATAGATTCCAGAACAACCTCAAGCCAGTGAATCTTGCTGGTTAAAAAGGTAGGCTCTGGCTGGGTGCAGTGGCTCACACCTGTAATCCTAACACTTTGGGAGGCCGAGGTGGGTGGATCACTTGAGGTCAGAAGTTCAAGACCAGCCTGGCCAATATGGTAAAACCCTGTCTCTACTAAAAATACAAAAATTACCTGGAAATCACTTGTACCCAAGAGGCAGAGGTTGCAGTGAGCCCAGATCATGCCACTGCACTCCAGCCTGGGCAACGGAATGTCTCAAAAAAAAAAAAAAAAAAAGAAGGTAGGCTCTAGAATCTAGACACTAGAAGGCTGTGTGTCTTTGGACATTTCCTTGTGCCTCAGTTTTCTCATCTGCAGAGTGGGTTCACCTTTAAGACTCACCTCATGGGTAGCAAATGAGATAACCTGCTCAGAGCTTATATCACAGGCCTGGAACAGAATTAATGCATGTTAAATATTAGCTCAAATGTTAAACTGGTCAGCAAAGCAGGGTACCCAGGCACACCCAAGTGACACAGAGTCACCAGACAAGGAAGGAAGGAAAGAAAGACAAGCTTATTAATGGGGAAGCAGATGATGTTCTGCAGAGAATTCTAGGAGCTGTGCATGGTTGTGTGGGAGGCAAGGAGGCAGAGGAAATGGGGGCACTGCTCAGAGCCCCTGCTTCTGCTGGGGCGGGAGTCATGCGTGACGAGAAAGAAAAAGAAAAGAAGGGAAGTGACAAACTGACTGTGCATGTGTCTGTCATCGTGGATGAGCAATAGAGATGATAAGAATCCTCAAGACAAGGCTGCATCATTAGATGAGGAATTAAAAAGCTTATTATTAGGAGAAATTGATGCTCTGTGGAACCAGAGCTTTTAGAACAAAGAGCATCAGACTAACATTTTTCCAGGCTGGGGAAGTGGTGTTTTATTCATGATCAGTTGCAGGCATTAGAGTCTGTGGCTTTCTTTTGTTTTATTGTTCTGTTGCCCCATTTTCTCCACCAGGCCCTAGGCTGAACCCTGAAAGGAGTCTATGAAAAAGTTCTTGATGGAAAGCATTGGGAAGGGGTAGGACGCCCTGTCACAGAGGGCAGTTTGTATTTTGAAGAGCTTCATTTGAACTGCCTAGAAATACTTCAGAAACAGATCTATATAATCTCATCATAAATCCAACCTTCTACTTTTTAAAGGGGGCAACTTAGGACATGGAGAGGGGTATAGGCATAGCTATCAGGTCTGGATTCAAAAAAGGTTCAAATTAAGGTGACTTCCTATATTACCTTGAGGAAACCACTGAACCCCTCAAAACCTTAGTCTCCCAATCTGTAAAATAAAGTTGAGATCATGCCCAACCTTAGAGGGTTATTGTGAGAAAGGGGACAAGCATGAATGCTGGTCTAGAGCAAGCCCTCAGGGAACAGGCATTGTCATCACCTTTTTTGTCATTGTCATTGTTGTCACAGGGCTAAGAGGTTATAGGAGCAAGCTTGAAAACCAACTTAAAATCAAGAAGTTTCCTGACTTAAAATCACAGCCATTCAGAAAACATACAAATACAAATCATGCATTTTGCCCTAATAACAATTGGAGCCATTGTCAGATTTATTTCCTAAGTATCTTTTTTTGAAAAGCAGTTATTTCCAGGGTGGGAAACCTCCAGAATACACATCTCCTTTTAAGACACAAAACAGTATTATGTGAAGATGGACACGTTCTCCACAGGATTTGCCTGTTACTCCCACTTACCCCCAGAGATCAATTCGCAAGTCTTCTTCCTTCCCCAAAGTGGATCCTTCCCCAAGGCACACATGACTCAGAAAGGATAGCAATTCTTGTCCTTCTTTCTCAGATTTTCCTGTGTTTTAGACCCAAATATTTCTGGTCTCCCCAGAGTTGGGGATCAGTGTAAGGACATTTCAGAAAGAGAAGAGGTGTGAGAATGAGAGTAAGTATATGCAGAATATAGACAAGGACCCTGATCCAAAAAAAGAAAATGCACACTCCCACTCACTGAATCATTCTGTAAACACCATCAGAATGTCTGCTGAGTGCCAGGTCCTGTGCTCAGGGCTGAACAACAATGAGAAGAGAGTGCAGACCTTCATCTAGAAGTTCACAACCTGGAAGACAGTGAGGAATGACCACAGGGGTGTGGAGCAGGGAGCGGCACATACCATCTGTTCAGGATTGTCGCAGTGGTACCTTCTGATGAGATTATTAGGCTCATGTCTTGTGGACCAGCCTCAAGAGTAGGTGGTGAATACCCAGGAATAACCCCACCCCTCACCTGTTTCCATGATCTTTTTTTTTTTTTTTTGAGATGGAGTCTTACTCTGTCACCAGGCTGGAGTGCAGTGGCGCAACCTCAGCTCACTGCAACCTCCGCTTCCTGGTTTTAAGTGATGCTCCTCCCTCAGCCTCCTGAGTAGCTGGGAATACAGGTATATGCCACCATGCCCAGCTAATTTTTGTACTTTTAGTAAAGATGGGGTTTCACCATGTTGGCCAGGATGGTCTCGATCTCCTGACCTCACGATCTACTGCCTCGGCCTGCCAAAGTGCTGGGATTATAACGTGAGCCACTGCACCCAGCCAGCTGAACTCTTATTAGTCTTCATTATTTCAGAATAAGTTCTCGTGGTTGCCACTTTTCAGTTGAATACTGGTATCCCTAGGAGACCTCATTATGAGCTGCAACAAACCCCCTTTCCCTAACTCTCTTAACAGAACTTTACAACCTACAAAACATTTTCATGTTTCTGATCTTGTGGTAGGGCAGGCAATTTTGTCCCCACTTTACAGATGAGGCAGCTAAATAATTAGCCTGTGGCCTCACAGCTCAAAGGCGAAATAGCTGGGAGGTGAATGGGATCTTTTGACAAGCAAAGCCAGCCAAAGATTATGGCTATCCCCTAGCGCCTTAGTCATAAGTTACTCTTTCCTCTCAAAAGTGAACATTTTGTAGTTCCATGGAAGGAAGAACTGAGAGTTCTCATGTCCTTCAATACTCACAGCAGAGACTGCCCAGTCTTATGGGCACAGGGAAAGGTCAAAGTGTCCAAAAAAAGCTGGTAATTAGGACTGGTTCCTGGGTGCTTCCCATATGCCCAGCACTCTGCTGGAAGCAGGCTTCAGCTATGTCACCTGAATGTCCCTGACCTTACCTGCTCCTACCTGTGTAACTACAAGTCCCTCCCACCCCATTACTTAGGAATTTCCCCCTATCTAGAGGAAGAAGCTCAGGAACAAGTCCCCTCATGTTCTCTGTTAATATTTACTGCCTACCCATAATTCCCTATGGGAACTACCTTGGCATCTCTGTGATACTGGCCTGGAAAAGCCAGATAGACTCGGTTCCCTTCCATGCTCAGTGCATGCGTAGTGCCATGTGTGAGGTGTGTGAGCCTCTGAACTACTAAGTTTCCCGCATCGCCTGGAGAGAACAGAGCCTCCAGTTTATGGTTCTCACCCTTGCTTCACGAGGACTGAGCATCATCTGCTCTTGGGGTCAGGAGGGGGCAGACTCCTCATTAGAGCTTGCACTGTCCCTGTCTCCTCATTTCCTTCCCCAGATCCCACACCAAAGGTTTCTTTCTTCTCCCTCACTCCAAAGCCACATAAACAAATCACGGAAAGTGGAGAATCTGGACGCCCAAAACTAACCAAACATTGTTGGATAATTCTGGAAAAGTGACAGCCCTCGGAGGGCATGCAGAAGAGGATCCCATGAGAAACTTAAAAATCCCCCATAGCAACCACAGTTGCTATTTATTGAGACATTACACACATATCTAGTTAAGCCTCACAAGAACACTTTGAATCAAGTACCCTTACTTCCTTCAATTTACCTAAGAAAATGGTAGTCTCATTCTCCAAGCTAACAAGTGAGGAGATGACCCCAGCACCTTGACTCTTAACCCTAGTGCAATGCTGGGTCCCACGCCCTGAGTTTCAAGGGTTTGCAGATCCAGATAGTATTTCTTGCCACTCGATTGCTCAGAGAAACAATGACAGGGGAGGGTTTAAGTATTGGGTAGGCGGGTAGGTGGGAGGCAGGAGGAGAAGCTGTTAATTTTAGATGTGTAATTCAGACTGTTCATTAGGTGACAGAGGTGTCACCGTGCCCCTTATCTTTGCCATCTGCCTTCTAAAATAAGAGTCAGGGCCTGTGATTTCCTCAGGGGGAAGATCCATCCTTCAGAAGCTTAAAACCCCTGGGGAGGGTGGGACCCAAGAAAACAGCAGAGAAGATTCTGGGCTGTGGAAGTCTCCTGTTTTCTGCCCCAATCTCCTCAAAACATGCCCTCAACACGTAGTAGAGGGTCTTGAGAAGTAGAAGAATGTTCCAGAAATTGTTTTTTAAGGTCTGGCTTGGTGGCTCACGCCTGTAATCCCAGCACTTTGGGAGACCGAGGCAGATGGATTACCTGAGGTTGGGAGTTTGAGACCAGCCTGGCCAATATGGAGAAACCCTGTCTCTACTAAAAATATAGAATTAGCCGGGTGTGGTGGCACATCCCTATAATTCCTACTTGGGAGGTTGAGGCAGGAGAATCACTTGAACCTAGGAGGCAGAGGTTGTAGTGAGCCAAGATTACACCATCGCACTCCAGCCTGGGCAACAAGAGAGAAACTCAATCTAAAAAAAAAATTGTTGTTTAGTTTGTCCCAGGCTAACAAAACTATACTGGGACCTAGCCATCCTGGGCCCTGATTCCTGTACTTGGGTCACTTGGATGTGAGCAGCATTGACTTGTGGATTTTAACCCCCTACAACACTGAGTCTCTCCTCCTCACTGTTTATAATAGTGCTACAAAATTGAAAACCAATAAATTATTAATGTAGCCAAAATAAGGACCCTAAAATTAGAATCACAGCCATGTGGTGGTATCTACACGATTACCCCTGCTCCAAAATGTGAGAGTGACAGTAACTCACAACAGCCTGGTGTTTACTTTCATCAGGCACTGTTCTCAAAGTGTGGTCCTGGACGTGCATCAGCATCGCCTGAAAACTAGTTACAGATGCATAGGCCCTGCCCAGACTTATTGAACTAGAAACCGTGGGGATGGACCCAGCAATCTGTGTCTTAACCAGCTCTTCAGGTGATTCTGATGCTCTCTAAGTTTTGAGCACCCTTGCATTACTTCACTGAATCCTCACAATGACTATAGAAGGTATGGAAATCATTGGGCATTATCGTTTCCATTTTATAGAGAAGGAACCTAAGTCTCAAAAATATTGAGTGACTTGTCTGAAATGAGTAGTCATACCAGGATTGGAATGCAGGTCATGCTGCCACTTAAGTTCCCTCTTCCCCAAACATGTTTCCCTGCTGGTGAAAACTAAGCATGACAGAGGATCAGGGTGACAAACAATTGTTCCTATGGAAACCAGAAAAAGTAGCTTCAGTCCCAGGTCAGGAAAGAAATACTGAACATCGGTTATGTGTCAGTCACCATGTGTTATGATCTGAATGTTTCTTTCTCCTTAAAAATGATATGTAGAAATCCTAACCCCCAAGGTGATGTTATTAAGAGTCAGGGCCTTTGGGAAGCCATTAGGCCATGGGGGCAAAGACCTTATAAAAAAAGCCCAAGAGAAACACCTCTCCCCTCTCGTCATGTGAGGACACATGGTAAAGATGCCGTCTATGAACCAGACACCAAATCTGTCAGCCCACTGATCTTGGACTTCTCAGCATCCAGAACTATGAGCAATAAATTTCTGTTGTTTATAAGCCACCCAGTGCTGGGGATTTGTTATAGCACCCCAAACCGACTAAGACACTAAACATAAGTATCTCAACTCATTAAATTCTCACCAAAAAAAAACCCATGTCAAGTACGCATTCTGAAATCACAAATCAGATAGGTAAGCAATTTTTCCAAGCTCTCAACACTCAGTAAGTTGCAGGGTAGTATTTAAATCCGGTTTAGTCTGTCTCTAAAATCCTCACAGCCTCTCTGGGGCACATTTACACATTCAGCAGATACACACGTGCTCAATGCAAAAAGGCCAGGAAACCAAGGATGAAGGCATGTGTAGCAGCAAATGAGGTCACCCTGCTCCAGGGCTGAAAATGCAGCTCTACAGCAATTGTGGGACTTTAACAGCATCACCAGTCACCCCAGTCTGCTCCTCCCTCCCCTCCTTTTCCTCTTGAGAAACCACTGACTTTTCCCTTTCTCCCTGTGAGATGAAGGAAGACAAGTCCTTACCAAACTGAACATGTTGATTCGATTTCTACTAACTGAGTATTCACCCAACTTTCTGGGGAAGCAAAGCCCTTAGTGGGATAATGATGCCAGGAATGGGAGGCATTGCCAGTTGGAACCCCAGCAACATTCAATGAGGATTATCATAACGTTATAAATGCCTTTAACCAGCTCCTCACCCAAAATACATACACACCCTTGAAACTGGCTTGGGATTTACCAGCAACCTTCCAAATCAATAGCTTAATTAACTCACAGGCTATGTAAGACATGTCATGAAACGTATCTAAAACCAAGCAGTAAGGGAAAGTACAAAACTTAAATCTGTGTTTACATTAACTACAGTTTCCCAGCCATCATTTTGTACATTCTATTTTTTTAAATAAATTGCTATTTCTTTTCACTTTAAGTCATGGTATTTTTAAACTTTATAGATTCAAGTAGGCATAAATGAAAACTCTGGGTGAAAACATTTGTTGTCATAACTATACAAACAGCCCCCAAATTTAAAGGGACTCTGTCACTCCGTAAGTTACAACTTGTCACTGGCTCGCTCAGCTGCTTTTTGGATGGAGCCCAGGCATCCCAGCCTGCTTTTTAAGCACTTTGTGATCAGGTAGCTGCCCACACTTCAGCCCCGAAGCCTGACACTCCTGCCACACACCCTCTTCCCAGGTTAGGCAGAGTACAAGCATTTCCCAGAAAGTCCCGGGTCCTCCCACCCTTCGTTTCTCTGTATCTGTTTAGCTCTTGGCCTGGCATATCCCTTCCATTTCTTTACCAAGCTGACTCCTCCCCATTTCTTTTTCTCCTGCTTATCTCTTAAAACTCGGCCAGGAGCCACCTCTTCAGGAAAGTCTTCCCTCGTCTCTAGTGGGAATTTCCAAGCCACCACGTGCTGACCCTCATCACACTACTTTTAACACTGATTCATGATAGTCTATTTACTTCTGTGTCCCTTCCTAAGCTGTGAGTTCCATGAAGGTATCTCAGTGTCACTGAGGCTCAGAACAATGACAGACACAATAGTTAGCACTCACAACATTGTGGTTGAATGAATGAACTGAATCAAAGAATGAATGTTTATCACCTAGGTATTTATTTTCCCCACAGGCTCCAGGTATACCATGGAAATGAGAGATGTAATTTTTCTCTCTCAACACTGTCAAAAAGCTGTTTCTCCCCCCAGCGACTCACAGGGTCCAACATAGCCAGAAGCATTTCAAGGCTACAGAAACCCTAGTCTAAAACATAACCCAGCTGAGCCCAGAAGATTGGTAACAAAACCAAAGCTAGTCCAAACTCTCAGGACTAGCCCTAGTCTGGAGTGTTCTGGAAACTCACTTTAGTTCAGACCTTCCTAATATAAGGCCAGTGTAAGTATGTCCTGTGTGCTTGTGGGGTTTTTAATTATAGAAGCAGTGCAGGCATTGCATGAATCCCAAACATAAAGCAATGTATAAAACAGACAGTTCTCAAAATGTGGCCCTGGATTACCACATCAGTGTCACCTGGAAACTGGTTAGAAATGCATAAGCCCCACTCAATCTCAAATTTTAGAATACATCAGAATCACCTGAAGCACTTGGGGAAATACAGATTGCTGGGCCCATCCCCAGGGTTTCTAATTCAGTAAGTCTGGGTGGGAACTATGCACTTCTACCTGGTTTCCAGGAACACTGATGTAGTGGTCCAGGACTACACTTTGAGAATAGTCTACTTTATACATAACAAGTTTCATACCCTGATATTGGCCTATAATATGATTCTCCAGAGATAGCCCTTGCTAAGAGCATTTTAGAGGGTGATAAGCAATGAGCCTGCAAGAAAAATATGGCTAACAGATGACCATACACAATATATTTCTAAAATACTTTTATTTGTTGTCTCGAAATGAAAATCAAGAGGTTTCACATGACTGAAATGCTTTCATGGAGTTCACAGAGAAGGAAGTAGATGACACAAACCAGAATAAATAGTACTCTGACTCCCAGCTTTTCTTGGAAAATTCAAAGACCTGCCACCAGATTAGCAATGATTTCCTGAAAATGAGTGGTGCTAGTTGCTCAACATGAGGCATGTTCTCAAGGTTGTCACAGTCCCTACTTGACCCATTCACAAAGCCAGAATCTCATCCCCTGCATTCATTTAAGTTTGTGTATCACTGGTATGCATCCTTACAAAATCCTTCTATAATGTTATGGGTGTTAAAAGCACAGCCTACAATCGTTTTTCCATTATATCCATATAAATATATACTCATTTACCTAGATATTCCTCTGTGTACTTGCATCATGGTATATATAACCAATCCCTTCCTGATGGATATTTAAGTTAGTGCCATTTATTTTCCACTACAAACAACAAAACAGTGAATGTCCTTGTATGCATCTCTTTGCATATTTTGTGAGATTTCTCTTAAATGAACGTCTAGATGTAGAATTACTGAGTGAAATGGAATGCATACTTACAGTTTTGATAGATAATGCCAAAATGCTAAAGTTAGTTTAGAATAAAAGCCACATTTAGTACCAAGCAGGGGGCAAGGAGTGGTTGAGTTTGGAGAGTGGCATGGGGAGATGAACTGCCCACCATTTGAGTCCTCTTCTCCAGCAACCACACTCCTCTACTCCTAGTGTACCTACAGTTGATTGTCACAAAGGTAATATGTCAAATGGCAGAGCTAGATCTACCAGGGCAAATCTATTTTAAAGTTCTAGTCGAAAAGTTAATTCACTGTCATAAATTGAGCATAAAAACAAAATGAGATAATTCTGGTCATATTTACAGAAGTCTCCATTTGTTTCTGAAAACCAAAGGGATTTTTATCCAAATCCTTTCATCTAGTTTGTTGAAATTTCTCATGATTTTTATCTCAAAAATAATAATAATTCCTTCTATGCTCTCTCCCTTTCTGTTTCAGGCTTATTTCCCTTTGTGTTTCTTGGAGATTAACCTGATGTTACTGTGGAAGGCTTTTTATGTTGCCAAGGTTTGAACTCTACTAAGTGGCACCAAAAATAAAAGTCTAAGATCGAAGTTACAATAAAGTATTGATTTAAATACCCTCCTTTTCATTTAATAAATGTGGCAAATGGGATGACATGAAGGTTAAGAGTCTGCCTGGGTGTAAGTTCTGAGTTCCCCATGCACTGGCTGGGATAATACATAACCTCTCTGAGCCTCTGTTTCCTCATCTGTAAGATGGGGGTAATTATAGGGCTATGGTTCTTGGCACAAAATCTTGTACAAAACAAGGTTAATTGTTATTTATTCTAGCACAATAGCCAATCTCATCACCTCTTAAAGTTTTACAGGGTGCCGCAATGCCCAGACCACATAAACCTCCAGGCAGCCATTTCATGAATTGACAGTCATGA